ACGCGGGGCGGGGGCGGCGCCGCGCCGCCCGTGAAGAGCCACCCCGTGAGGAATCAATGGAAAGCTGACCGGCGGCAGCCTTGGCATTGATTCCCGCGGGAAACCGAGGCGTTCGCAGGACGACGAGGCGAGTGTCACTGACTCGGCGGGCCCACAGCTCTTTCGTGCCAAAACTATTTCGCCCGACGCCCCAGCGCGCCGGGTTCGGTCTGGTTTCGCCGGCGCTGAATTCGGCCCGAGCCAGCGAAAATTGGACTTCTACGAACGCGACTGGGCAGATTTTTATGCGCCGGCGCGAAAAAATCGTCTGGAGAGGGCGTGTTGGGGGCTCGATTGAAGATGCTTTTATTCTTGACTACTGAAGCAATCGTTTATATATTGGAAGCTTCCTTAGGCCAACACTCAAGCAACCCTCCATTTTGTACGTCATTTTGGCTGCCCATACCCAACTTGTGCATGCCTACTTGCATTGGGCAGACGCCGCGTCAACTTCCCTGCGAGTATCCCTGCTAGTATGACAGCGATGGCTCTGCATTGACTAGTTATTAATCGAGTCATCTGCACGCAACAACTTCGAGATTCATGCACCTTCCTCCCTTCCTTCCTTCCTTCTTACGGACAATGTTTTTCTACTAATACCTCCTTGCTCTGCCTAGCTAAAACCAAACCAAAAGGTCTCTTGCTCTTCCCACCACCACGCCATGCATGGGCATGGGAATGGCTGCTCATGGACTCAAGCTCTTGTGCTCTTTGTTGGAACTCGGTCCACAGAATCGATCACATTAAATCACGATGAACACGCGCACATAAAATCTGTTGCCAAAGGCACGTGTCGTGTCTTTCCTTTCTCTCTTTATTATTTCTGTTTTCTTGCACAGGTACAAAATATTCCAGCCCTGGTCGTGTGTATATATATACACGCAGGAGGAACGACCCAAATAGCCTAGACCTACACGGACTCTTGCTAGAAGCCTACCTGTACAAGTAAACGCTTCGTACACTGCCGGGACACAAACCAACCTAAACTAAACCTACCAAAGTAGTACTCCTTGACTCACACGTACTAAACCTAGTACTACGGACACTTGACAAAATCCTAACCGGACTATATGACCACACACGTATTGGCTAGCACAAACTAGACAAGATTATCTAACACTCCTCTTCTTGGCACTCCCGCTCGCCGCCGCACAGCCGTGGCCGCGTTGCGACCCCAGCAGCGGCAACTACTCGGCTGGCAGCGCGTACGAAACCAACCTCCTAAACCTCGTCCTCACCCTCAGGCAGGACGCCTCCTCCTCGGCGTCCCGCTTCGCCTCCGGCACCCTTGGCGCCGCCCCGGACACCGTCTACGGCCTGGTGCTCTGCCGCGGCGACGTCACCGCCTCCGAGTGCCTCGACTGCGGCACCTCCGCCTATGAGAAGGCCACGACGGCCTGCGGCCGCCGGATCAGGGACGTGGCACTCTGCTTCAACCCGTGCTACGTCCGCCTGTCGGACAACAACTTCCTCGCCTCCGCCAACAACTCCGGCGAGATACCTCTCATCGGCGGTACCAGCATCAGCAGCAGCGACGTCGCGGGCTACGACCGGGCGCTCACCGGCCTCCTCAACGCCACGGTGCACTACGCGGTCGACAACTCCACGCAGCTGTTCGCCACGGGGCAATGGGTAGGGCCCGACCCGGGGTTCAGCCACATCTATTCGGCGGCGCAGTGCGCGGGGGACCTGTCGCCGGCGCTGTGCCGGAGTTGCCTCCAGGGCCTCTTGCGCGGGTGGTTTACCAAGTTCCGCTTCCTGCCCAACGGGGATGGCTCCAGGGTCGCTGGCTCCCGGTGCACCTTGAGGTCCGAGGTGGGGAAGACCTTCTTCAACGGCGCCGCCATGGTCCAGCTCCCGGCCAAGGCTGCCGCACCGCCACCAGCGGCGACGGCTGTGCCAGTACCAGGCACTACAGGAGGTAAGTTGACAACTCAAGTATACTGTACAGCATATACCCATCCTCAAGTAGCACACTTTTTTTTTCTATTTTTTAAACAGTTTTGCTAAAGGCGACTGCTAGTTCTTTTGAACAAAATAGCTCTGATGGTTGTAGCAAAACCATTTGCCGGTTCCAGCTCCGGTGTCGGCCGGTGGAAGCAAAATTGCTCGCTGGTTGTAGCAAACTAGGCACCAGTTCCAGCTCCGGCGCCGACAGGTGGCAACAAAATTGGTCTGCTGATTGTAGCAAAAACATTTGCTGGTTCCAGCTCCGGTGTCGGCAGATGTCAACAAAATAGCTCTGATGGTTGTAGCAAAACCATTTGCCGGTTCCAGCTCCGGCGTCGGCCGGTGGAAGCAAAATTGCTCGCTGGTTGTAGAAAACTAGGCACCAGTTCCAGCTCCGGCGTCGGCAGGTGGCAACAAAATTGCTCTGCTGATTGTAGCAAAAACATTTGCTGGTTCCAGCTCCGGCGTTGGCCGATGGCAGCAAAAATTGCTCGCGCGAGGGTACAGCTTGACCCAGCAGTAGCGTCGCCACTGGATGTAGCTCCGTCGCCAGAGGCTGTAGCTCCGCCAAAAATTGACAGTTGGGGGATCATATGGAGGGGGAGTGTTTGAGAGTAGCGCCTGACATGGTCACCCGACGGAGGAGAGAGGGCATGCATATTGGACTAATAGTTGCGGCCACCATAGCCGAATTCTTAGAGTTGCATATGTATTATTAGTGTCCTAACATGACATGGTCATTAATAGTTGCCTAACCAATTGGGCCACCAAGATTACATTCCTAGATTCATAATTAATAGCCATGTCATGATAGTTACAAATTTGAATCATGCACATCTTTAAAGGCTAGCAAGAAACAAATCAACTAGAGAGGAATTGTATTCAAACAATATTTGGGAATCTTTGTTTGCTTGTTAATTAGATTTGTATATAAGAAATGCTCTGGTAAACATAAGGAAAAGCAGTGATCTCTCAAAGATCAAAATGCTTGTAAGCATCAAATCACAATACACCAATTGGTTAACCTGTGCATGTGTAAAACCCTCAATTGCTACATTAAACATGCGCACAAATAAAAACTAGTAATTATTCTACCATGGATGTATCAAACATCACTCACATTAATTTGGTATTTATTGATGCAGGAGAGGACTATATCCTAAATTGGGAACAACGGCTTCATATTGCATTTGATGCTGCCCAAGGTTTGAATTTAAGTTGGGTGTTTGCCTTTTGGTCATGTATGTATATGTGTGCTGACGAAGTACAAGTTTTAATAAACTACAGGATTGGAGTATTTACATGAGTTATGCACCCCATCAATAGTGCATAGAGATGTGAAGACCCCCAACATCCTACTAGACAAGAATCTAGTGGGGATAATATCTGATTTTGGGCTTTCGCGGGCTTTTAACGATGCTCACACACACATATCTACTGTTGCTGCTGGCACTCTTGGCTACCTTGACCCTGAGTACCATGCAACTTTCCAACTCACTGTCAAGACAGATGTTTACAGCTTTGGTATTGTGCTGTTGGAGATCATCACTGCTCAACCCCCAGTGATCATGGACCCTCAACCTGTCCACCTACCAAAATGGGTGCGCCAAAAGATAGCAAAAGGCAGTATTCATGATGTCGTGGACAAAAAGTTGTTAGATCAATACAACGTCAGTTCCCTGCAGAGTGTGATAGACCTTGCCATGGACTGTGTCGAAAATGCAGCCGTTGATAGGCCGGCCATGACCGAGGTTGTTTCAAAGCTCAAAGTGTTGTTGCCATTGGTTACAAGCGAAAAGCGGTCTATTTATGGAACCACTCAATATAAAAACTCCATGGATAGTGAAATTTCACAACAGTACCAGTTGACGATTTCTGGAGCAAGCACGGAAGGGAGCTCCTTCCAGTCTGGTTATACCGGTGGGATGTCAGCAATAAGCATGTCTTCTGGAAGGTGAAAGGAAAATTCTCACTGAGTTATTATTACATCTACTTATATAACTTTGGCAGTTTGCACAATTGTGTTATCATTGATTGTTTATAAATTGCAAACTAGTCATTTTATCTTGATCGTTCCATGTCTACTCGACTGTGGAAAGGGGTGTTAAGTATAATAGTCTAATGATGTGCCCCCTGGTGCGCTCCCCATAAGGTAGATCGTCCAATGTTATAGTTGTGGTGCACTTCGCCAAGAATGGACAGGTCGGCACGTGATGTGTGGCCAAAGGAGCAGATTGGAAAAGTCCCGAGCATATCTTACGATGAATCTATAATCATAACCGAGTAAGAGAATACCATAAATACTCATTTGGTCATAGTAGCAATAGGCTACACACCATTAGCATAACATACAAACTAAATCCCGTTACGGGCACACCTGAATGCCCCGTGCCTCATTTACGTTGGCAGGGTTTACGGCGGCAACGACTTGCTTCACGATGGTCTTGTAAGTAGCCTTACATGCATGTCGCTACCATCTCCTACTTGGCTCTATATATAGCAACACTATCTTCGTATCTATGGAGCACTAGTACATAATAACATGTCAGTAAACCCACTTTGATGACCGACTTTAAGGCACCAGTCTGCGATGGCCTCAACGGGCGCTTGCTTTTTTTTGTTGCTCCTATCCTTGATGAAATAAGGAGAAAGAATCATCATTTGCTTTTTTTTCGGTTCAACATGGAAGCAAATATTGTGGCAGACGCATGTGTTAAATTGGCCTGTACACTTGATTTGTCTGATTGTTGGTTGTCTGAGAGCCTGATTTTTCTTGTTCAAGGCGTGATGGCTGATTTGTAACCGAATTGTTGTTAAGTAATAAAGCTCCCTAATTGCTGAAAAATGCAAGCGTCTGTAGCTCATCTAGCTGAGATATAGTTATGTCTCATTCACTCGACGTCATTGCATTTTGTAGTTGGCTTGTTTGTTGCCACCGGGCACCTAGTTCAATCTCGTTACTGGCAAGTCTATTTACTCGTAATACAAGATCCAGTGACTAAACCCATTAGTCACATGAAGCTTTTTATGATTTTGTATTACCGAGAGGGCCCACAGATATCTCTTCGTCACACGGAGTGACAAAATCTAGTCTCGATCCATGCAACTCAACAGACACCTTCAGAGATAACTATAGAGCACATTTATGACCATCTAGTTACGAAGTGACGTTTGATAGCACACAAGGCATTCCTTCGGTATACGGGAGTAGCATGATCTCATGGTCGAAGGAACAGATACTTGATATAAAGAAAGCTATAGCAAATAACTAAACGATCTGATGCTAAGCTTACGGCTGGGTCTATTCATCACATCACTCTCCTAATGATGTGATTCCATTATCAAATGGCAACTCATGTCTATGGTCAGAAAACCATAGCCATCTTTGATCAACGAGCTAGTCTAGTAGAGGCTTACTAGGGACACTGTGTAGTTTATGTATTCACACATGTAGTGTTGCACTCATTAATTTTCTAAGGAAAATTCAGCTCAACTGGAGCAAATGATTGTGAGACATTGATAGTTCTAGTTGGCTACTGATGTGATCGTTTTTTTGCCACCGATGCACTTATAAACCGGACCCACTTGGTAGGAATCATGTTAACACACCTAAATGATGGATTCGAGCTAGCTGCAATGAATTACCCCAATATATGGTGTTTTGTGCAACAAACCTGTAAAAGTAGGCGTTTTGTGCAACACTAACACCAAAAGTAGGTAGTTTGTGCAATTTCCTTGTATGTACATGGTGTCCAGTTTTGTCTCGGGCTTTTAGATTACTTTTTGTCATTGCATTTAAGGGCCTATGTGATTTTTATTTATGTAACCATGTATGGAAACTTTCACCATGGTAAAGGAGAGAAGAAACAAATTAGGTGCATAAAAGGCTGAGGTTGAAAATGCAATGTAGGAAGAAAAAGCCGATGCTACAGATAAAATGTGTTTAGTGGTTCAAAGAAAGTGGTATTTAAGAAGTGAAGCCCAGCCACATTGTCAAGAATCCGTAGCACAAACAAAGGGGGCCTTAATGTGTCACTATTCTTTAGAAAGTTGGAGGAAATGGTGAAGCGGCTAGAGGAAGAATTGGTGACCGGAGAGGACAAGTGTGGGGAATATGAAGCGGAGACATGGGCGGAGGAGACGTACAACAAAGAGTAAAAAAACAACAAGTATGTGGTTACGGTTTCACAAAATGTAATGAATCTTTAGTAACACATTTATATACATATTTTATTTTCCATAGCAACGCACGGGCAACTTAGTAGTCTGTTATAATGATGAACAGAAGTGAGCTCCATTCCAGTGCCAACACAATTCCCTCATTGCATGCCTCAAGTTCAGCAGAAAGTGTACTATCACATGTGAATAGATGACGACACAAGGTGAAGATGATGCCTCCAGAGCTGTCCCAAAGCACCATGCCAGTGCCTCCATTACCTGTGTTCGCTCCTCGCGCGTCTGTGCTGCTGCTGGCTTCTAGCGTAGACGTACTCGGCGCCGCTGCTGCTGATTGCTCGTCGCGCGACTGGTAGACTGGTACGACTAGAGGGCGCAGAACTATTATATTAACACTAAACAATATGTATACGTCGATATACATGGATTGGCGCTATTTTTAGTTGTGTCCAAGACATAGAAATAGACACACACAAAAAAAATCTTGAGATGATAGACCCACTTGGATCGTATAGGCTAGCACTAATAGGAAAAGAGCTATAGATGGAAATGACACTAATGACGCACCAGGTGCCATTAGTATATACTAATGGCGCACCATGTGTTGGTGCGTCATTAGTGTCCAAATACTAATGGCCCACCACATCCACGGTGCGCCATTAGCAACATTTTTTTTTAATTTTTTTAAAACTACTAATGGCGCACCGTGGAAGTGATGCGCCATTACTAGTTGAACTAGTAATGGCGCACCACCCCCACGGTGCGCCATTAGTAAAAAATTTAAATACTAATGGCGCACCGTAGGGGTGGTGCGCCATTACTAGTTCGCCATTACTAGTTGAACTAGTAATGGCGCACCACTTCCACGGTGCGCCATTAGTAACTTGGCCCAAACATTCGCCCGAGAAAAATAAAAGAAAATAAGATTCCCATGTGATATGTGGTCTAGTTGTTAGCAAAATTTACAAATATGAATTTTCGATTTTTTTGCAAAATCTCTCGAGAATTTGTAAAAATGGGCATAACTTTTGCGTACGAATTCGGATGAAAAAGTCTTTTATATGAAAAATCATCTACTCGAAAAGGTACATCCGAATTTAACTGGGGGAACCTCGTTAAACATTTTCAAAATCCCCAAAAACCTCACAGAAAAAAAGTTACGGGGCTTCTAAAATCCGGAGGCAAAAAAATTCAAAAAAATTCAAACTTACTAGTGGCGCACAGTATGCTAGGTGCGCCACTAGTAACAGAAAAAAAAATGGTTTTGAAAAAAATTTGAATTATTTTTCAAAATATGATACGTAATATGATCGGGAAGTTTGAAATATTTTTTCAAAAATTCATCATACTCATGAACATGAACAAAGTCCTAGACATCAGCTAGGTTTAATAGGATTGATATGATAGATATATCAACAAGTGCCTTTGAAGTGAGGTGGTGTTGGGGTTGGATAAAACTATGAAGTTAAGCGTGCTTGGGCTGGAGTAGTGTGAGGATGGGTGACCTTTTGGGAAGTTTAACCACAGAGTGTGATTTGACCTGAGATTAAGCATATTGACTCAAGATTAAATCATAGTGACCCGAGATTAAGAAAAAAATAAATAAATTTGAATTTTTTAAAAAAATGAAAAAAAATTGAAAAAAAATTATTACTAATGGCGCACTTCTATGTGGTGCGCCATTAGTAAAAAAATACTAGTGGCGTGCTACTAATGGCGCACCAGTAGTGACCCGAGATTAAGCCATAGTGACCCGAGATTAAGAAAAAAATAAATAAATTTGAATTTTTTTAAAAAAATTAAAAAAAATTGAAAAAAATTTATTACTAATGGCGCACTTCTATGTGGTGCGCCATTAGTAAAAAATACTAGTGGCGTGCTACTAATGGCGCACCAGTAGTGCGCCATTAGTAGGCAAAACTGGTGCGCCATTAGTAGGCCTTTTCCTAGTAGTGTAGATCTTCAGGTGAACCTACCTTCTGCTGGTGCAGATGAACTCGATCCAGTGCCGGCCATGGTGAAGTAGGGGCCGGTGATGGCAGAGAGATGGCGGCGGTGGTGGAGCTTCCCGTGAGCGCCGCGCTAACCCTAGATCGGAAGGGAGTGTCGGTGGGGATTGTGGCAGCGATTAACCTCATAAGTCGTACCCCGCCCCCACCTCCATTTATATATAGCGTGGGCCACAGGGGCGCACCAACCATAATGGGTTGGGCGCCCCCGATCAGGGCGCATTGACCAAGGGCCTGGCAGGCCGTTAGGCCTGTATAGAGGAGATCAACCTAACATCCCCCCCTTGATCTCAACTTTACTTTTAACTTTATACTTTCTAGTTTATTTGTTTCATCACATATTGGTACATAGAGCATGTTTCATCGTCACAGCTTAATTGCCGTTAGAATCATACAGCTATAACATACGTTATGTTCAGAAGCAAATTCTGTTCCTTTTGGGCCTATCCAGAAATCATAAGGCTTTCCCTTAACCCCATGTCGGCTAAGTGTTCCTTGAACACATTGGGTGGTAAGCCTTTCGTTAGCGGATCCGCAAGCATATCCTTTGTCCTTATATGCTCGAGACTTATAGTTTGATCCTGGATTTTATCTTTCACAACATAATACCTTATCTCTATTGTTTTGGTAGCATTACTCGACTTGTTGTTGTGAGCATAGAATACCGCGGGTTGGTTGTCGTAGTACATCTTTAGTGGTTTGTGAATACAATCTACCACTTTCAAGTCGGGTACTAATTTCTTTAGCCATATCGCCTGCCCCGTGGCTTCGAA